ATCAGCACATATCTTATCCACACTTAATATTTTTTTTTGCTATCAAGACTTTTTATAACTCGTCCTGATATAAGATAATCTTCTGATGAGGTATTGCATCTTTCCAAGGTGATTTGAAGTTCCCTAATTTGTTCAATTATAATCAAAATTAATCAGAGATTTCAACGATCACACACACACACACACATTGGATCTCGTATTGTTCGTGAAAAGGAAAGTGAATATGTTCTTCAAGCCTATACTATAGACTTTTACGATGATCCTTCCCCAGAAGAGCGGAGGAGATGATATAAGGAGCTAAAGAGAATTGGCAACAGGAAGGAGTAGAGACCCCTCAACTTAATGCATGAGATCTCCCCCAAAAGGCCTCGAAGAGAGTTCTATCGGGACCTCTCTTTCCTCTATTTATACATTGTCAAGAAATAAATATTAAAATACAATTCATTGTATATAAATTATGTTCATGGTGTCTCAATGAAAAGATCACGACGTGAATGCTGGCGGCTCATAAACGAGAATACGATATATGTTAATCATTGATGTCAGTCTTGACTTTTTGATTTTTATCAATTATGTTGATCACTATAGAGGCAAGCTCGTTTGATGAACATGATTAGTCAGTCCACTAAGTGATTCAGCAAGTCAGTCTTTCAAGTCGACCCAACAGCTGGCACACGACAGTTGACAACTTGCCAGTAGGCTCAACATAGCACCTCAACAACAGATATTTGCATAATATTTGTGTCTTCTGAATAGATGGGGGTATCAGGCCCATGAAACCCGCTAGACATGTGCTTCGACCCTCAGAAACTGATTTATTGGTATACAATATGTAATATATGTAAACTAAAATAAAGAAAAAAAATAATAAAAAAGAAGAGTTAGGCGAAGGAACTGCTTCAGTTGAAAATTTGGGAAACACATGCTTTCGTTTGGGCGCTCAGCTTGCACTGTCGGCTCCGTTGGCTATTTGTCTAGAAGGAAGCAGTGTCAATTTATTCTTAATTATAAACCAAATATAATTACTTTCCTATCACTTTCTAATGCGCTCAATAATGTACTTTAATTTATATTTATAAACTTAGAAAATGATCATCGTTAGAAGAATTTTTTGGTGATAATACTGAACCGTCCACCATGATTTTGGCCAATGGAAACCATTTGCTTTCTATTGAAGCTCTTACCTACTCAATAATCTCTCTTTCTCTCATGCGAGAACAGGCACGTGTAATTTGTGAAGGAAGATGAAGATAAATAATAGTTATTATTAATTAATGGAGATCACTCTCTGGAAGTAATTATTAAAAAAAGGGATGGTTGGATGTGTTGGGTGGGGGAGATAAAGAAAATCAAATTTAAGAGAACTTAATAATATGTGGTAGTAGTTTCAACTTTGGTGTACTTTTTCATGCATATTTGTAAAGTCAAGGAAGGTAAGGTTTAAATTAAATTTGAGAGTTTGTAAAATAGAAAGCATGCAAAAGTGAGTTTCTACTTCTCAAACTAGTGAAAAAAGAGTACAAGAAGTTATGATCTAGCCTATAACCATATTGTTGAATATAAATGGCTTTTGTGGGCCAAAGAAGAGATATTAATCGTCGCCTTGTTGGATATGCCAAGTTGATCAGCTGAGTTGACTTATTTGCCAAGTGCTGGCTGTCATGTACCAGTTGTTAAAGTTGACTAGCTTGGTTAATCTTCCATGTTCATATAATGAAGTGTCGGTCTGTCGAAGTGCCAACTATCATGTACCATCTTCCAGGTGGCCTAGTCTGATTGACTACCGAATGACAACTGATTATAAACCTAGAGTCGCAATGTTGTAAACCCAACTTAAGGATAAAAAAATAGAGAAGATAATGCAGCGACACTATAAACCCAGAGTCGCAACGCCATCATATGCACTCAATGCAAATTATGGACATCACAACTAAAAGACAGCGTTGTGGTTGTTGGCATCACTTTTGATATTGCACATGTGGGATGTCCACCTGAGCGCATCAGGGTCATGCTTCACGTATATTTTGTTTCCCATAGCTCCAGATATTTGTTTGAGACTCGCCAGCACATATTGAGGAGCAGGTGGTCGGGTTCATTTTATTGAGCTTTGGTTTTTACTTAAACGAAGGTCTAATCGGACCAATGATCTCATTCGTCGGGTCAAGCGCAAATCAGACTTAAATTAGCTCAATCGTCGACAAAATCACCCAGACAACCTCATACAATAAAACGGACCGCGCGAGCAAGCCCAGAATGTTGATTTTACCTAGGGAGGACACCCATATTGCGAGGATTCTTTGTGTTGGCTAATAACGTGCAAATTGAGGCACATATTTAAAAAAAAGTGTTAAAAACCGTAACAGCAAAAAAAAGGGGGCCTCGTTCAATTTCTCACGATGTCATGGCCAACTCACGCGCCTGAGTCGACCCCAACCCGCACAACATTCTCTTTGTCGTACATCACTGTCAACCACTCCCGCTGATGACCCTAGGTGTCCGTAAGGCCCTCATGGCAGCTAACCTCTGACCTCACTCCCTCTTTCGATTGGAGCGACGAGCCGCCTCGACTTTGCAACCCCTCGTCACCTCCCTCACTCTTGGCCTGATGCCACCAGTTTTCTCTTGACGCTCGAGCTCAACGGCCCGTCGGTAATCACCTCTGCCACTAGAGAGTCTTGGAGCAGTGCTTCCGTCCTACTTCTCTCAGTTTTGTCAAAAGCCTCACGGAATTAATCCACTCATGCCACCCTCGCTGGCGGTTGGAGGCTTTATTGGTGATGAGCATTCGTCCATAGGTAACCAGGAAGACAATGACAAGAATGTTGATTGGAACTAGACGATAGAAGAGAAGGAATAGTAGTGGAACACTATAATATTTATCCATATTATTGTTCAAAAATACATAAGTGATGATTGCGCTTAGATCTCTATCTATCTCTAGCAAAGTATATTTTCCTTATTCTGACGTTAGTGTGCAAATAATGGTATCCTTTCAATTCATTCTCATGTTACTTATATTTCTTTTGGTTTGGATCACAAGGGCATATCCTCAATCAAAAAATATGATGATTGTCATTTTACATATTGCACTTTCTGATAATTACATTCATCTATTATAAGCTTTTATAGAATGTAACAGAGGTGTTGGTTAATTCTAAATGAGCCTACTTTGATAATTTTGAGGTGATGGGTTCATTCTGTTTATTTATCTTGTGAAAATCTTTTTGTCATATTTTTTTTATAAGTTGATATCTTAAACGAACGTTTTTTTATTAGCTCTTTTGATCCATATTTGTAATTATTATTTACTTTGTGTTGTAATTATGTTATGTTCTCAGGTGTTTAAATGAATTTGACTTTCTTTATTACACCTAAAATTATTTTATTTGCACATTTAACCCCAATAGTTTATTATCTTAAAAAGAATAAAAGACTTTGCTACTTTTGTAAATTGCATTGTTTCAATTGCTATGCATGCAATTGCCCAAAAAATTAAATAGGGTCTAAAATATCATCTTACTCTCCCTCACCATTAACTAATGTCAACTCTTTGATGAGATAATGTTACTTCCCTACAATTCATTATAATTGTCTCACATCTATTTTTTAGAGACTGGTGAGCTGTATTCGACATAGCTTGAATGCAGGCCTTCTAAGTTCGAGAGATACGTCCCTACCAATGTAATTATGCAGTTCAGTTGTCCCTCATTTGTTTTTAAGCCAAAGATTTTAGAAATTTGAATGAAGTATTATAACTTGTTGAAAAATTAACACATAATAAGTTTAAGAATGTACATCGAGAATGCATCATCATGAATCTTGAGGAGATCCAACGGTCCAACGGTTTGAAAGGCATAAAAGTACAACTAAAGATGACCCACCAGCAGAAGACCAGGAAACTCGTCTATCTAATCGAACATAGCAATACATACCAAAGCCAATGCTAAAATCAACAGAATGCAGCGGTCCAAGCCAGAGTTCATGAGACTAAAGGCGTCTAGATGGTTGGAACCCAAACCCATAGGACCAAGTCATGACAGATAGACCCACAAGCCAAACACTATAAGTAAACCCATAGAATCTGACAATCAATTTTTCAGTAGACTAGACCCGAGAAAAGACAACTCATTAGTACCATCAATCATCCCAAGGACACTTTAGAGGTTCCTTATCAAAAATCGAGAGCTAACCATGTCACAAGAAGTCTCAACCATCCTTCTGGTTTTCCATGTTGGGGAGTGAGCTACTTATCGGATTACAGTGATTCATCATTTTTCTGATAATTTAGCATCGCTTAGCCAACAAATGCTCCTTACCAAAGATCAAATGGCAACAGTCAAACTAGATCAACTAATTGAACCTATCCTACCGACCCGACATCAAGTGAAAACCGACCAACAAACTTGACTCAATATAGTAAAACGAGCAAGTCTTACCAAACCAGTGCCCACTAAGCTCAGCCGGCCGAGGCAGAAAGATGTCGAGTCATAAGACTCGTATTAACACCCCCATTAAAGCAAGAGCAAACATATAATTTTGCATGTTTTACTCCTTTACATATAAATAAGGGGTCATTTTATGAGATAGACAAGCAATTTTAATACTCAAACTATATCATATTCTCTCCTTTTCCTCTAACTCAAGTATGGTTCACACAGAGATCCTGTTCAACAAATAAATTATAAATTTGTGTCAAATATTTAAATTAAATAAAAATTAAAAACAACATGTATGTTGTATATATATATATATATATCAACTCGTGTTCCTCGTTGTGGCCATCGGGACCCACCATATCAAAAGATCGTCCCTGACGGGCCCCATGGACCTTCTTCTGAGCTAAAAAAAATATCTTTTATAAATAATATAAAAGACACGTGTTCAACATACCCCATCATTGGGCCACCTAGAAAAGGAAGCCGGCAGCCGGGGTGCCACCCGTTATCAATCCACAGCGCTCGCCGGCCGCTTATCGCAGGGGTCTTCGATGTCGCCGAAGCATGACGCAATGCCGGCCCCACAAACAGCACCCCGATACATACCAGACCTCTGCAGATGTCCGTCCAATTACACGTGTCCGCGGAAAGCGGGACCCATCCGCTCAACAGTGCCGTACTGTGTCGGCAGATGTAACCGGTAAGAGAGGTCGTTGACGTGGTTGCTTTTAATAACGCCACGTGGTCTAAAGGGTACCATGAGATTTTAGATCATTGGACGGATTTGATTTTTTTTTTCCAAGGTTTTTTACATGCATACAGCACTAAATCTTATTATTAAGGTATTTCATATCCTAAGTTTTAATATTACAAAATATACGTCCGTTATTTCTTTATTTCCGATCATGCCGCCAATCATGTCATGTAAACTATAAGGCATCAAATTTTATGCTCCATAGCTATTGCATTGTTCAAGGAAATATACCCAAGATCACATGAATGCTATTAGGTTCACTCCAATGGTCTTGATTAGTATATATTAAGCCTAAAAAACTTGTAGCTCTCTACTTCAAAGATTCCCTAGACAATGTGATGTACTTAGTGATATAAAATTTTAAATAATTTATCAACCTATTACTTAAGTTTTGTTTTTAAAGAGCAAGCTACCGACATACACTTCTATTGTAACATGTTTATTTAAAGATAATATACATTATTAATTGAAAATAGTCTAAACATTCTTCCAAAGAAATAACATGACATTATAATTATATAACACATTGGTTATACTAAAAAGGTTATTCCTACAATATCACAAGTGTCTTATCTATAACATAAACAAGCACCTAGAAAATTTATTACAAGATTAGTGCTCAAATTGAATGTAAAAATAATTTCAGGAAGTGAATGGATGTCCTTGGTATAAACTTGATTTACATTAATAAAGTCAGCACATATCAACAATTTACTATTAGGTGTCTGCACTATTGTTATGTTTAAAATCCATACTGAATATTAAAATTTTTAAATAAAATCATTGTGTACAACTTTGCTTGGATAAGTTATGCCAAAGTATTGAGTACTTATCATTAGTGCTAGTTAATAGTTTATACACCTAATTATATGCTTCTATTGGTGAAAATCAACACTGATATCAAGTTATCAACTTGTTACTGATAGAAGTTTTAATTCGCAAAGTTTACTTTAAGTATTAGTAGAAATAATGACTTCTTAAATTATTTTAGTTACATCAAAGTAAGCTTAACATTCAACATACAGTTAAAGAGCCTTTTTCACAAACATACCCCTATCATCTTTTGATACCATGGTTGAGATTGATGCCAATACTTTGAGTTGATGAAAGTTTGACCTTGGAATTTGATCTTGGATCAAAATACAATACTATTATTAAGGTATTTTTATATCAACCTACCGAAGGTAGCATTATAAAAGAATTGAGCATTGACTATTATAAATTTAGTTTTAATAGTGTGCTTAAATTCATCCCCAAGTTAGGCTATCAAAGGGTTAATAGCAAAATTTGATTTTTTTAATCAGTTAATAAAAATCATAAATTACGGATTCATGATAAGTTTAAATGTTTACAAACTCAAAGATAAGATTTTAAATGATATTCATGGAACTTTGAGTGTTACTTAGAATGATATGCATTAATCTTAAAATTAGAAATTAAAGTATTTATGATGATTGAGTCATTGAAATGATGCCAATTTCTAGATGATAGTTAATGTTAGAGGATGTGACTAACACTATAATCAATATACATGAGGCAGTAAGAATCCTTCTCAACTTTAACTACTTTAGCTTTAAAAGTATCGAAGCTCCATTTCACCATAACAAAAATTAATTTAATGATGCCTGTAAATGGGAGTGTTTCATCCAGGTTTAGCTTATTTTATTATTTACCACTGAATTCTCATAATGAGATTATCATAAGATATTTTATAGTGGTTTTAAAATAGATGTGTTGAATTATCATCCAGGTTGCACTATAAAATAGATGTGTTTCATCCAGGTTTAGCACTATAAAATAGATGTGTTGGAGGGGAGAGTGGTTTTAAGAGGTTGCACTATCAAAATTTTGTCGGTCAAATCAGACGCAAATCGAAAGTAAATCCAACGATATTTTCAATTTTATAGTTGGATTTGCGTCTGATTTATGTCCAAATTTTTTCACGAGTAAATCGAGGGTCGGTAATCTTAATTACATCAATTTTGTGTTGAAATATTCTAACACAAATAAATTAAATCAGTTTTTGCATCGTAGTAGTTTCGGTTTTGTTTTCTAATTCATTTTCTTCTCTGTGTGTCTCTCTTCTCTCCTCCCTCCCGCGACAGCCAAAACCCGAGCATCTTCTCTCTTCACTCTCGTCGTCACCGATCATCGGTCTCCGCACCGCCCCATCGTCAGCCATTGTAGCACTCTCCCGCCTCCGAAACCCCGTCGCGATCATAGCCCATCACCGCTTGTGATAGGATCAAAAAAGATAACTTTACCCCATTTTTTTTCTTTTTAAATTTTGGTTTGTATATAACATTTGATGTTTAGGTCATAAGAATGTGTATGCATAAGATTTCAGTGGTATATATGTAACATTTAAAGTTTAGGTGTTAGGAATGTATATGCATAAAATTAGGTGTTAGCTATGAGACATTCTATAGGATGGTTTCAATATCATTATGGCCGTGAGAAAAAGGCTTTAATTATTTCTTACTTGGTGCAAAATTAACACCATTTTTTTATTGCTAACTCAAAATTATTACAATGGAACTCTTTAATACTAATATTTTTTAGTAATAAATAAAATATAATTTTGCAAAATTATTCCGGCTGTGGTGCATTTACATTGTTCATGTTGCTCTGTTTTTCCTCTTGGAGCGCGAGAGAATGTGCCTTGCTGACATTGGAAAGGGGATCCATGAGCAAAATTTGTCCTCTTATACTAGTGTATGTTTCATTAAGTTCCATGAGGAATTTCATGGTTCTCTGGTTTTACTGAAACTGCATCACTTCCTTCATGGCACCACACGTGCATTTAGGAATGTTATAGAGGGTGTCACGTTCGGTTGGTGTAATAAGCTCAAACTGTCATATCGCCTTGCTTGCAATCGTGGATGACTTCTTCGACATGGAAAATATGAACGTTGTTGGTACGAGAAAAAATGTTCCTTCAAGTCAAGCCAGATTTCATGGGCACTCTCGTTGTATATTATACTTGCTCCAATGTCTTCTGCAATTGAATTAAACAACAATGCCTTGACAAGGTTGTTGCAGTGCCTCCATTGTTTAAGTTTTGCGGTGGACGTCTCTGGTGGTTCTTTGACAGTGTCGTTGACAAAACCTTCTTTGTTTTTTATGTTGAGAGCCATCAACATGGCATGACTCCAGGAATTTTAGTTTTCTCTATTCAGGGGCTGCATAACAAACACGAGACCGTGTTAGTCTGAGTAGTGGAGATAAAAGGGGTCGTTCGGATTATCGAATTTGTTATATTCAGGTTTTGTTGAATTTAGCGTTTTGTCTACCATTTGTTTTGGCTTAGAAAGAAGATAGATGGGGTTTTGGCATGGAAGAGGAGATAGTAAGACTCAGAATCGTGTTTGTTCTGATACTATGTTAAAACTCAGAATAATGTGGTGGAATACTCAATATTTCATTGATATGAACGGAGTTATAAATAACCTTACAAGAATCTTGTAATAGGAAAAATAATAAAAGGAAATGATATGAAAGAAGAGTATAACATCTGATATCTTCAATAATTAATTCATATTAATTATTAGGAGATATAGGAAATAATGTAAACTAGGAAAACAAATATCTCATTAATTCTAAGAAAATAATTTATTTACATAAATAAATTATTTTCTATCATAACTCTAATTCTAAGGAAATAATTTATTTATAAGAATAAATTATTTTCTATCATAACTCCTAACATATTCTTTTGTTTGCTCTTCTTATATTTTTTTTAGTAATGATTTGCTTTGAAGTTTCCAACATTTTTTTTTTTCACAGCCTAACTTTTTTTCAAAAATGTCACCATAACGAATCTATGCTGACCATTTTTGTTGGATGTGGCTGCTTGGGCTCTTCAAGAGAAGAGTGTGTTGAATCAGGGTATTTGATACCAATAACTTTTCTTAAGGTCAAATCTTTAATTGCTCTATTGGTGATCATCACTTCCATTATCTCTTCTTCTATTTAAATGATGGAAATGACTTTTTTCAGGGAAATATAATTCCTCCTTTCAAAAAAACTTTATGCTTACAACATTAAACTCAAGATTTTTTTTACATTAAACTTGGCTTTGAAGTCAATAAGAAAAACCCCATTAAGAGTATCCAAAAGTAAAATTTAATTTGATCTAGTTCAAGTCATTCTAAGCATTCTAAGTAAAATATATTGCATAGAATATTATGTACACATTTTTATGATCACCTAGTCAAAAAATTTTAACGAATATATCCATGAACTTTTTGTTTGATTTTACTATGTTTGTCATACTTGTCTTGTTTTTTATTTTTGTTTTAAACATAGTTACGACCAATTTCCTCTTTAGATTTTACACATTCCTCCTTTTACTTGTGTGTACTACTCCTAACTAATTTTGTTGATTAGTCCTGCTACAGATGACCATATGTGATGTTGGTGATCAGCCACCTCAGCAGGTGAATGTAAGTAAGAAATTATTTATTATATATTTTTCTTGACTCATAATGTTTGACATGATGATTAATAATTAGCTTTTATTATGTAGGAGGAGCACAAGTAGCTCCGGGAGAGATAGTTGCCCTCCCAAACACCGACCATTGTCAGCATTAATGGTAGTCAGTTTACCACTACGCAGTCTAAGTTCGAGTTATGGACGCAGGCAGTGGGGAAGAGGAAGGTCGAGATCTCTCATGCTTCTATAGGTGGCACGAACTCATCACACCTGAGTATTGTGAAGTTTGCCAAGGAAGTCGCAGCTATGACTGAGAAGTTTCAACATCTACATGCATGCTAACATAGAATTGAGTAGAGTATAGCATGTCTGCGGAGATAATAGAAGAAAGTTGGGGCAGGTGAATGGAGATTATTGTAGTCTAAGAGGATGATAAGGAGAAGGATGATGAGGAGGATGAGTAGGAAGATTAGAATAACTTTTTATGTAATTTTAATTTATAAAATGTTTGAACTTATATTGATTAAGGTGTGGATGTAAAATTTTGATAATTTAAATTTTTGACAGCATCTCTATTTTCAGTACTAATATTTATAAGACTTTGATATGTGATATATTTGGATATAGTGTTGCTTTGATGTGAATTAATCATAAATTTTGTTGTATTGAGGCATAGCCCTTACTCTCGCTTTGTGTGTGATATGGCTAGATATAATTTCCTTTTATTGTATTGAGGCATCTCTTACTCTCGCTTTTCCTGCTTTTAGACATAGCCGTTATTTGTGTCTTACCTTTACAACATCTTTTTTTTCTGCTTATGATTATTTTTCCCTCTAGTATTAATCTTTTTAATGTTATTCCTTTCTTTGCAGATGTCCACAAGTGGTACAGTTGTCTGACGACCTCATAGGCCCATGTTCTTGGGACCCTTAAGACCACCTAATGTAGCAGGAAAAAGGGGTTGTCTACTCCTATCGCTGCTTTCACTACTGCTACACCTTCTGTGGCACCTCCTCCCCCACCAACTATTGCTACACCTTCTATGGCACCTCCTCCCCCACCGGTTGCTGCAACTCCTCCTGTGGCAACTCCTCCAACACCCCCTGCTGCCACCCCTCTTGTGTTACCTGCTCCTGCACCCGATGTTTCCCCATCTCCTGTGACACCTACTGCTTCCGTACCTACTTCCCCACCTGCTGCTAGAATGCATTTTGAGATTGGCCCATCAACTCCTGCCCCCCTGAGGGTACATTTACTACTACAGGGGGACTCATAAGTTATTTTAAACCCTGTTTTATGTTTATTCTTCGTGCTATATGTTTTATGATAACGCATTTGTTTCTTAAGTAGATTCATTCCCCAAAAGCTACCCATCACTTGCATCACAGAGATTCTCAGTAGGTACGATGAACCATATCTATCATGAAAGCAAATACTTGTAGCCACTTCAAACTTGTAGTTCAGGGAGTTTGAGATACGATCATGTAATTTGAATCAAATTTATAAATTTGACTTATTTTTTTTATACTAACACATGGATTACTTTTTATGTTGCAGATGTCCTTCACCTGGCTCCTAGAACACCACCAGCAGATCTGTCAAATCTTCGAGATTCAGGCAAGAATCGTCTTGCTGACATGTTCACGACAACCCGTCAGATAGGTGAGCAGCCTACCTGGATTGGTAAGGGGCTCTGGAGTCGGTCGCAGCTTGAGCCTCTCTTGATTATGAGAGGAAGAGGCAGACAAATCGAGCGAACCTGGTGACGGAGGGGGCCAGGGGAGCTGTGCTCAATATTGGCATATCGGTTCCCCAAATAGAGCACTGCAGAAGGTTGTCCATATTTTTTTTCAGATATTTAAACATTAATTCAATAATGGGAGTATTTTTTAGCATAACCATTTTTTTGCACTATACAGGCCAAGGAGTTGAGTCGTGCTCCCTCCGTTACGGAGATGCAAATCTGAACCCATCAGTTCTCATGGACTATTTGGTGGGTCTTGGAGTATTCCCGGTGGGTTGCTATAAGTTAAAATTCTTAAGTCTAACTTGCTCATGTACAAGTCCAAGGATGGCATTTTAAACTTACGATGAGGCTCTTGATTACTAATTAATCCAAAAAGATAAAGTATTTGTCAATCGATTAAAACGGCTAGTTGCTCTCTCTTAGTTGTTTATATATTACACTCCACCAAACAATAAAAAGTCATCCCATAATGAGTCAACAAAAATATGGTACATATTAATACATAGTGAATATCGTACTGAGACAATCGGTGCTTAGGTTGAAGGAAGAGCAAGGACATAAGGAAAGTTTTCAAAAATAGTTTAGATCATCTTTATGGGATGATCTTTCATCTGTTGAATTTAGTTCAATAAGACACGATTATCAAGTTTATTTTTATAACATATACGATCACAAATGTTATAGTTGTTAATAGTCTTTTCTAATTATAAATTTAGTGGTATTATCTCATTAGTTGTTTGTACTTTTTTCTCTAAATCTACTAATTATACATACATACATATACTTCGGAATTGATGCATTGCTTGCGGTGTTATGCTCATTTATTTAAGCTATTGTTTATATGGGATCGATTCGGTCTCATATTTTCAAAATTAAAAATATTATTTTCAATATATATATATATATATATATATTAAATTACTAATTTAATTATCATTTCATTTTTTTAACATCAGTTAATTATCATATTATTTAATTATTAAAAATTTATCTAGGCACCCTAATAAAATGGGGTTGGTTTTGTTGTTGATTATCTAGTCTACTTCTTTCGATTTGTGGAATCTAAATCTATAGAGAGAAAGCTTGCAACGAACAGTAGAGTGAAAGAACTATGCAAAATGATCAATATTTATAGAGAAAGTATTCGGGGGGTGGGGGGATTTAGCACCCTTATTTGAGTGGGGATAGTACAATTATTATAAGTATTTCACTTTTGTGGACTCAGGGTCTTGCTATTCTCTAACTCGGTCGGTTGGACTTGATAAGACTTCGACGAGCCTTGTTGGACGGCTGGAAATGATGGTGTCGTTAATTTGATAAATCTGGCTGGAAGTGATGGTGTCATTGGTCTGATAAATTCGTATATGATGTGAATCGACTCACTGGCTATGGTTCGATAGGACTGGTATGATCGACTAAATTTTGTCGATTGATGGGCATAATCTCGTCTTCGACCCTGGATCTCCACCAAGGTGCTTTTGTCCATATGGTGAATCTAGGTCATTCGACAAAGGTTAAATTATTGTAATCTAATGAGTAGTCAATCCTTAGAAGAGCGTATACTGTTGGAATTGTTGAGATGAGTTCTACTCTTTTGATGGTATTGGGAGAGAAGATTGAATGATCCCGATACGACAGAGTCATGTGAACTCGCTTCTCCCACGGATTAACTTAATCATGATGGTAGATTTGGACAACTCTTCGCCTGTCATCTGAATGAGGCGCTCGGGCTGATAGCATTATTAGCGCCCTTGTGATTTTGGCAGTTTTGGGTCTGTCATATCCGATCGGATATTCAGCTCATCGATTTGCCTTTTGATGGGCCGCCTTCTTGAAATAAGGGTATTTTCTCTTAGACCGTTAGATTTTCACGTGAATTGTGCTCTAAAAAAAAAAATTTTTGTATGCCTTTCATTATTAATTTTGAAATTAAAACATTTTTTGGTCACTTGTTTCAAGAAAACGAAAGTCACAACATGCTAAGATTAAATATCATCAATTCAACGAAAATAAGATGTGCAAATTAATTTCTTACAACCACCCTATCGAAGTACTGATTCCTGAACACCGCGCTTCCAACACTTGGAGGTATACGGCGAGGGCTTCCCATTCGATAAGCATAAAATAGTTTTTAAAAATAACAAATTAATTAAAAACAATTTATTAACTTCGTGCTACACGAGCAATTGGGACAACTGTCAGGGGCATTTCTGTTATTTTACCCCAATCTAGCCATTATATACGATCGGGTACATCTCCACTCCCTTGCTGTAGCACATTACTGCCATTGTGGAGGACTAAAGACCCGAAAGCAAAATCAACTCATCAATTCTACCATGGCGACGGTCTCCGACATGATCTTAACCGGACATATACCCTTTCTCGAAATCCCCGCCGCCGCCGTCGACGGCGATGAAGCCGATGATGAGAAAAGCTTCAAAACCTCTCCTTTTTCTGCGGACGATGAAGACGACGACGACGCAGGATCGGTGAAGGGAAGGCGATCCGGTAGAGCAGCTTCGCTCCCTGGAACTCCACGGCGGCCATGGGAGCCGTTGAGGGATTGGCGGCGCCCGGCGCCGCCGGCTGTGGAATCGAGAGAGGAAACTGGATCAGGCGTGGGAGATGAAGAAATCGCGAGCTGGTTTCTTAGATGGAGAGAGTGGAGAGTGTTTGGTGATGGTGAGCGCGCGAGGGAGTAGCGGGAAAAGGATATGTATGGACATGGATGAGGTGAAGGCATGTCGTGATCTCGGCCTTCAAATCCCCGGAGATTTCACGGTCGAGATACCGGGCGGCTTATCAGGCAACAGCAGCGGCGGAGATTCCCCCATCTCGGGCACCGGTGAGTATTGCTCTGAGCTGTTTAGGGTTTCGACATAACTATGACTGTGAAATTGACGATGTTTGATTGATTTGAACGCAGGGGAGAATGCGAAAGAGATTAAGGCGAAGCTCAAAATGTGGGCGCACGCCGTCGCATTTGTGTCGTCGGCGGCGCGCTCCGTTGAGTGAGAGGCGGACCGCCGGCTTTTGATTGAGAAGCCCCCAGTTTTTTTAGGGCTTTATCGTCGTTTTTTTAAGATTTACATATATACCACTCAATTTCTATATTTTTACACTTTTGGCAGACTATCTTGTATGACATAAAAATTAATGTTATTTTTATGTGATATGAAAGATTTAGGTTTGTGTAAATACGAAAAGAAATTTTACATGGTTGTATGTAAATGCGTAGAAATTGAGTGATGTGTATGTAAATTCCCTTATGTTTTGTGTTGTATATAAAATCATACTAAGACACTAAGAGTGTTTAATTACCTTGTTGTTTTGATTTTTGGCACTTTTGTATACTTATTATGGCTTCCTAACTATTTTGATTATTCAATGAAGATTTATTCTTGTATAATCTATAGTTTTTGGAACAATGAGTTTGATAGGCTTTTAGTTATATGTTTTTTTTTTCAATTTTATTGTTTAATTTAAGAGAAGACATTGAAATAATCTTTTTTTTTATATATATAAGGCTATTTTAATGTTAACTATATGTAATAAATTTAATCTATTAACTCTTATAACTTATTTTGATTTTTGATATATGTTAGAGAATTCGCGGTGGAGTAATAAATTATCGTCTTAACGCGTATACACGAGTATTTAACACACCAGATAATAGAAATAACTGGTAAAAATATCTTAAGTTTTTCAGAGGAAAATTTGAAATGTGAAAAATTTAACGTGGTTTAGTCAAATCATAAATAATCCAACTATAATTTGATAAATCAATGTCCCTCTTACAGAAAATGATCACACAAATACAGTGTTCGTGTACAATAGAACTCATTGCACTATGCTCAAGAGTGATTGTAGTTGTCAAAACTTTAGTACGTCATTCTTGGAAGGGTGTTGTTGCTCGGTCTACAGGATGACATGTTGCTCGGCCTACGGGATGACATGTTGCTCGGTAGAATGTTATACTGCTCTGCGACATTGGTCATTATTTCGCATAGTGATTGTTACTTTATAATGTTGGTCGCTACTCGCATAGCCTTTCGATGCTCCACAATCTTTGTCAATGTTCAACAAGGTGTTTCGTTACTTTGCAGTGTTAGTAGCTACTTCACACAATACTTTGTTGCATCTAGTAGGAAGCGACCGATAATGGTCGATAACGACCAATGAGCGGTTGACGCCGGTAGTCGATGAAGGCAGGAGTTGGAAGCTTTCACCGAATCTTCGGTGCATAATGTTGAACTTCAGCTCATTCTCTTTTCGATCATCCTCCAAGCTTAGATCATAGTTCCCTTTCTTAAAGGAGATAGGACTCTTTGTTAATGGAGTTTATGAGATGTCTCCTAACAAATAAAGAAAATATCCAGAGAACTTCATCGAATGACACAAAGAGATCTCTTTGAGCAGACAACATTTTCTGACATTTCAATGTCTTAATAGTGTTAGAATTGAGTAATATTGAGCTCGTTTGATTCATCTCATCAAATTATTTTTATTTTATTATAATATTTTCAAATTTGGAATATATTTTATTTTTTTATTCGGCGTCATCAAAAGTTTTTTGAAAATAGTTTAAATGCTCGATATGGAATTGATTTTACTTGGGATTAGTGGTACAAGTCATTTGTCTGTATATTAATATACATTTATTAAATAAATATTTGTCTATGGTGGTGACCATTTGCTCATCAGCTTACCCTGGTTTTTTTGCCCCTAACGGGCCGAATTACAAAAGGGTAATATGAGGGTTGTTTGGTCGACCTGAACCTTTGACTTCCTCAATACTCTAGCTCGCCCCTCTTTTCTGCTTGGCGATGTGCAGTCCTTCATTCGGTTAGTCTTGTAGATACATTTCGTTCGGCTTCGATGTTTATTGGTTTTATATTTTGTTGCACAAATCGATGAGATCCCGAGTCGATCATCTGGCTTTAGTATCAATTATCTAAATAACCTTATTTAATTTCGTTGAATGGTCCTGACACATTTTGGTTGGGGACCCACCTTGTTAGTCATGTTGCTTACCTTTACTTCGAGGTTTGTGTTACCCGAATCTGATCGTACATGCCAGTTTGATTAACGGGCTGCAAAGACGGGCTGAGGATAGTTAACTTGCTAAGAAAAGATCAAAATAGTTGGTTGTTAGAAGGGGTTCCACAGGTGGACGTGAAGATGAGAGCGATTCGTCGGACGATGTTCCACTGGCACGTCAGAGGCCTCGAAAAGGTTCAGGTATCGCCCTTGCACAGGCTCCGGAAGTTCAAGCCGAGCAGATTGGGGTTGGAGGGGGGATTGAAGGACTCTCGGAAGTATACTGCTTGACGGTAGGGGCGCCACCGATCTTTCTCAGGTTGAAGATAGAGCTGCAAGTGTTCCGCCTAGGCCTGGTGAGAGTTCATCGTCTTTGATATGGTCCAAAGTGGATCTACTCCTTGGTAGGAGTATGATTCCTGATTTTTTTTATGAAGATTGTTATTTAGCTTCTCCTAATTTCACTTTTTTGTGCAGCCGGCCTGATTCTTGTTTCTGATTCACCATAGGCCTTTGGAGGTCAGGAGTCGACTCCTCGGAAAGTCATGGGAGATCAATCGACGGCAATCGAATGGGAGTCGACTGACTTAGTGGTCCACCGTATGGATAGGGCTTTAAATGAATCAAGCACTCGATGAACAACTTGAACTTGGCTCGATTGAGAGTTGATCATGTTCATTCAAATTAGTAAACAAGCTTGAACAATTTTTAACTCAAAGCTTAAATCAACTAAACATGTATATAGTCGAGCTTGTTTATTTAGGTTCGCGAACAAACTCGTTTGTTGTTCAACAATTTGTTAAATACTCGATATTAAGTTTGATGGTAGATCGTATCATATATGATATATTATTTAATAAATTTTAATTAAGTAGAATTTATCGATTTAGAGTTGGATGAAGATCCAACGCATACATATAAAAGAGAAGTGAGAAGGAGGAGCTATCTTAAATTTTTACTTGAAGAATCCCTGAAACAGAAAACAATCATTGGGTTTAGTTCAGTTGAAATACCACTACATAATTATAAGTACATAAATTTACTCTCCTTTTAAATTAGAGAAGATGAAATTACAAGGCTGATGTACAATAATAGTTCATTAATAGTTGTAATAGGTCATAAAGACTGTACTTGATTTCTATGAAGGCAATAGTCTGCAATAAACGTCGTGGACGATGGTTGTCTGCTTGTCGTGGAGGTCGTAGTCGAAAGTCGTGGTTGCAGTTGGTCATGTTGGTTGTAGTTTGTTGCTTTATAAGCATTGGTTAGCCACAGAAGTCATAATATGGAGCTGTAAGAGTTGTGGACCATTTAGGTCATGGTTTGTCATGCATGTGTGTAGTAGTGAGCTGCAACAACAGCCTTATGCCACATAGGCGGGAGGCGAGAACTGCATGAGGCCCATAGTTGGTCACGTAAGTCATAGTGAAGAGCTACGATGAGAGAACTTTAGGAGCTTTGAGAAAGTCACCTTATGCGGGGTGATTGTTAAGATGCCTTTGGGGCGTGTCGTTACATTAATCTTAAGGGCGCGTCGATGCACCATATTTGAGACATATCATTGCATAGTATTTGGGGCTCATCGTTGTACCATATTCGAGGCTCGTCGTTGCACCGTATTTTAAGTGTGTTGGTACATAGTCTCCAAGGTGCGTTGTTGCACCATATTTGGGGTGTATAATTACACCATATTTGGTACACATGGTTCTTTTGCAGGGTGCTTCATTAATCCGCAACGTGAGTCGAAATTCCACAGCGCTCTTTGTGACAAGCAAGGTGAGGGTGTAGGTGGTCGACGGTTGGGGGTGTAGGTGGTCGATATTAGCCGGTGAGCGGTGGTCGACGACTGCAGGAACATGTGGTGCTAACTATACTTTCAACATATAACGACGCACTTCAACTCCTTCTCCTTGGTCCAAGGTCTAAAGTATTTTTCCCTTGTTCATGAAAGGGGTTGGGGTCTACTTATAGAACCTGTAAGTATAGAGTCGTGGAGAGACCTTCCAAATAAGAAGCGAATCCTGACCACTCCATCAGGCTGCTTAGAGAGGTTTTCTTAATCGGTCGGCGTTCAGTGATTTAAGTGTCATAATGTTGTCAGTATTGAGTGTTCTTGGGTTCATTCAATTCTTTTTTTTCTAGACGCTTAATTTGACTATAAGCTTGACAATTTGGAATCATTTTGTCTTCCCAATTGGGCACTAGAAACTTCCAAAAATGGTTTAACAACTTGATCTGAGCTTGATTTGAATATGATTCAACCAAATTTTCAATTTGACTCTAAGTCTGTTGAAATAAGAGTTCTAGATAATTTTTAATTGATATTTGAATGTTCCCTGCTCAAAAAAATTATGAGATCCGTGCTAAACATCTCGTTATTAATATCAAATGATAAATTTTAATAATGACTTATGAGTATCTGCTAGGGTGCATTTTATTCTTTAAAAATTAATAATAAAAAAAATAATTTTGAAGTCATATTAAAGAGGTTGTACATGATAAATGTAAAATTTAAACCTTAACTATTATACATGGAAATACATTAAAATAAATTTATGTATGTAAACTCCCATGAACACCACAGCTAAAGTCATAGTTTAACATTTTCTGGAACCTTCCATGTCTTGAATACCAAGAGAATTACCGTTACTTGAACAGCAAGAAAGGTTACCCGGCCAGTCCAAGGAACGAAACAAGCCGTGAGAGGGAGAGGGAGAGGGAGAGGGAGAGGGAGGGAGGGAGGGCGAGTACCCATAAAGGCTGAAAATGGATCGGGAGGGCGGCATAAGGAGGAGGATATCGCGGGGGATGATTCCAGTTCTTGCTTTGCACGTTGGTACTGAATACTACCGGCTCCGGCGAAAGCCTCCGGTGACGGCGGGGCTCATCCTCGCCAATACCCTGATTTATCTCCGCCCCGGAACCCTCGACCGCATTCTCCCCACTATTGACGAGGTCTGGTTCAACCCCCATCTAATAGTGAAGGTACCATCCTATTCTATTCGCTTCTTTTGTCAAAGCTAATTTTGATGAGTAGTAGTCAATTCTCTCAGCATAAAGTGGCATGTGTTTGTTCGATCTATGCGGTCTTGTATTTCTGGTAGGTAATTTGGCTCTTGCGAAATGCATCTGTAATGTATGCAATGTGATATGGAATCATGTTATCAACGATGGAGAAAGTGAATAGGTCTGGAGATTACTTTTCTGGTAGTTATGTTGTTATGAAACAAAAAATTTTGTTGGCTTTGTTTCTTGCAATTGCAGTGTTCCGGACTCCTTTGATAAAATATCAATTATAAGTCTCATGGCTTAAAATTGACTAATGTCTGATGATATTTTATTTATTTATTTATTTATTTATTGCATATGATCATTATGTGCTGAAGAATGATTATTGTCCTGAGAAATTCTAATGATTTAAATCAAATCATTAGCCATTCTTATGACATTCCTAAAACAAATAATTTGTTTATTTAGTAAATCCAAGATGCAGCCAAACACCCCCAAAATCCAGTAAATCCGGATTTAGTAAATCCGGATTTAGTAAATCCTGATTTAGTAAATCCAGTTAAACTAAATCCAAATTTTATGTGTGGTATTATCTCCATTAAAACTACTTTAATTTGCAATTTGTGTTTGGCATTTGTTTCAGGATTTCATTTGCTTTGCTGACAAATATGGCTGCAGCCAGTAGAGTAGGGGGAAATGCATAAGGACTTTTTAAATTGTTCCTACTCATCGTTTGATCTCAATAGTTTGATCGTGCACGCCTAAATACATCGGTTCGCAGAAATCAATCATTCAAATATGCCTTCTTCTTCACTCTTTTTTTTCCAGTTCGCCCTTTTAAAGGGAAAACTAAGCCAAAATATTTTTTAGACATCAATCTTCAATAAAGCAAATCTATACTCCAATTTCTTTCGAACTCATAATTTAGTTCCTGGAATAATAATTGAAATCATGAACTCATTCAAATGTGGGATAAAAATCTTTCTCTGGTGAAAAAAATAAAATTTTCACAGGTGGTCTTCAATTCTAACGAAAGGATGGCGCGACCAGATTTACCTTCCTTGATAGTGTCTAGTAGGATTGGAGCAGAAGGATGAGAAAGATGGGAGTATATGTGGTCTCTATATGCAACGATCTCCTACTGGCATTACTTGCTAGCTCTAATAGGGACTGTATCGTGAGGATTCGTTGATCAAGGCGATGGTTTTGGGCGAAACAGGGAGAGAGGGAGTGATGTAGGCAAGGTTTCGGACTCTGGAGACCACAGAGGCAACATGCGACGAGGCTCGAGCAGTCTTATCCTTTGATTTTCTTCTCCTGCATGATTCTTTTCATTTGCAACAGCGAGCTATGAAGGAAGGAAGTCAGCTGTCGTGGAAGGATGAAAAAGCACGTCGTCCATAAATCCACCTTAGGATGAAAAAGCACTTCGTCCTTACTAAAATGCATTATGAGGCTATCCTATAACTTTTTATGGTAATCCTTTTGATGCAATAAAAAATTTTAAACCCCATATAGTTTAGTTTAATTTTAAAGTTTCTCTTTATTAATTTTTCTTAAAAGGTTAATAACAACATGGCGTAACCTAGGACATACCCTAGGAAGAAGGGAAGAAGACATGATAATTTTGTTATGATTTTTTAGCAAAGATGAATACTAAATAATGCCACACCTTACGACCACCATTATCTAAACTAACTACAACTTGTATATTAACTACTTAATGAAACACTAAGATAACATAATAATAAAGTTTATCACTATTGATTTTCAATTAAATGCTAATATCAGGTCACTCATGCTTCTGCCATTACACCTATGCCTACCACGATGGTTCGTACTACATCACACCATATATTTTAAGCTTGACAATTTATGTTTAATTATTTATTTATTATGACAATATTTTATGCTAATAAAATATACATAGATAAATAATTGCTTAGTTATATTATCCATCTTTCTCATAAAGCTGTCTTATAATCAATGAATAGATTTTTTTCCTTATTTCAAAGCAATATATTTCTAATTTATTGGTTTTAATGTTGAATTTTATTTTTTGCTTCTTATAGTATGTATTTTCAAATGCAATTGTTGATCTCTTATCAAGCTCTTAGATCTTTGGTCTTGATTTTGCCCTATTTGACTCACTGTAGCCCAAAGTCTATAGAACTTTCTAATGCCCCTTCATATTTGAGTGATCCATTCTATATCCTAGCAATCCGAAGAAATGCTAGAGAGATGTGTATAGTTCACACTCAATATATATGGAACCTAATACCTTTGTGATTTGTGTAGCTCTCAAAATTGAAATTCATCCTAATTGGGATAGAATTTAGTAAGCAGATTAAAATGAGATTTTGTCATTTTAAATCAAAACCAATAGACTACATACAAGCTTAAAATAAGTCAACTGGCCTATAATATTAAGTCGAAACCTCAGTTGTATTCATCAGATCAAAAAAGAAGAAGTTTTGATATGATTTTCATCTCAAATTGCAAGGAGGGTAGAAAATACTATTATATTAGTACTTAAAGGAGTCATAATTAACTCTGTTGTTCTATCCATTCAAGTAGGACATTTTGCTACCATTCAATGGACACTTTGGATATGTGAAAATCAGCTCCATAATTCAAGCGAGGAATGAGAAAGTTAAGGCTAAATTCAAGCCAAATCTCCTAAAAGGAGGGGGGCAGATGAAGAAGAATTTTAAAGGAATTGGATAACTCTTCCCAATTAATTTCTTAAACTCGACCCCCTACTCTTTATCTATCTCTTGGCCATTCAAATCAAGAATAGAATACATTCAAGGAATATTCTCCCACACGTCATAGAGCACTTACTATACCAAGATATATCAGTGATTTTAATTTGAATTGCTAAATTAATCATGTATTGTCTTTCAACCAAAAATATTCTTATAAAAATACCACCAAATTGTTTTAGATTATGATTTCTGTATTTGAGCCAATATCAATATGAGTTGTTTGAGCCTAGTGCATTCCAATCTAGTTTTCATGTAAGAACACTTCTTAACCATAGATAATTATATTCATATTTTTGGACTCTATTCAATTTAAATTTAAATTTAAATTGAATTTATTTTGTCTTTATTTTGAGAGGATGGGTGTCATACTATTATCTTAGTCTACTTTGGATTGAGAGGATTCAAATTTTGTTCATTACTCAAACTCCCTTGATTCATCATTATCTTAGTACCTTGTCGTAAGCAGAATAGATGCACCATTTTCCCCTAGGACAATGAAGTTATGAGTTCTTGGTTGGGCTTACAATTTATTTTTATCGATGACCTCCATACACAAACCCAAGTTTTCATTACCAATCAGAATTCATTTTGGTTCTTAAATGAGAGTGCTCTTGTGTTCACACTTGAGATGTAATTAATAATGAATGCTTACATTAATGAGAAATCTTTATTCTCTGAGTCTAAAAATAAACTCTAAATGACACATTTTATCTATATAAAATAATTAGGAAATCAAATAATTTGCCCTTGAACACCCTAGAATCAAAAGATTACATCTTTTTAAGTTTGCGAGGCACTACCAATGCCTACAAAAACGTCAAATGCCAATGTTGCTCTGAAATTAAACATCAGATGCCAGTATATATTTCTCATCAAGGGTTTGTTTGGGAGAACTTTCTCATTAAGTTGCTTTTTGAGATTGCCATCGTGGCTATGCTTGATTGTTACTTTTTTGCTGCTTTATAAATTTTTTTTGGGGTGGAAAACTACTTTTTATAACTATTTATGTTAAAGTATGATAGTTCTAAGAAAATTAGCCACCAAATTTCTAGGAAAAAAAAAGGAAATTTATAATGCCCACAACAGCCTTAAAAAGTTATTTTTTCTACAATATCTTTACAATTACCTTTACAAAAAGCTGCAGCTATCCCATTTTGTGAAAACTTCCTTGTTAAGTTAAGATTATCAATATGTACATACAATTTGCTTTAATAGTTCATCATTAGTCAATCTAATATAAAATCTTCATATATAATTAAATTAAGCACATTTAATTATTTTATCAACCCTAGCACCTTAGTAATTTTCTTTCAACTCTATGTTCACTACTCTCTCTAGTACATTTCTATAGCTAACCTTCACAACATCTAGTGGCATATACTCCTCCCTGGTGCATTTAATGTTTTCCCTCTTTTCTTATAGTTTGTGGCAAAAATGTTATTTGTATTATTTTTAATTCTTGTTCAGCTAAGTTTCTAGCATTTTATTGAAGTTTAAACTCTGTTAGAAATTAACAATTGATATGAGATTGGTTAAGCTATTGGTCACTTTTCACCACAATTAGATTTTTCACTATAACCTGATTAGTTCCAGTGCCACTTTAGAAATTACGCTAGCACTATCAACATCAAACCTTGATTCGTTCATTTGTTTTCCTAATGGTCTGATGATTGTATGTAACTTCATACCTCAATCCTTATGATTTGTAAATTCAAAAGGCAATCATATATATATATATATATATATATATTGCTACTTTGCCAATTTGGTTTTCTTTGTTTGTGATCATAGCACTATCATGCGTAAATTGCATTCAACTTCTACAGATGGGGGACTCTCTCTTAAAGGTGATCATTATGATTATTATTAGCTTTATTTTATGAATTCTTATTTTCTATCATTTTCTGTCTACTTTTAGAAACCTTTCATATAGACCTCCCAGTTTTGTTTGAAATTTTGCTATGATTTGTCATCACTTATTTTCATTTAGGTATTTGAAAGGTTGCTACAATTTAGATGTGATAACTTGATTTGAGAATGTGCGACTTGGCATACAATTGAGGAAACTAAAGGTCACCAAACGTTTCAGTCCCGATTACACTAATTCAGTAATGGCTTACCGGACAAATATTTATGGAATGATAGTAATAGAGGGAGCCTGCTGGGGGCTTGGTGTTTTTGACATATGGGAAAATTTAATGACTCATGCCTTACTAGGATCAGTATTCTTTTTTTTTTTTTTTTTTTTAAACCGTAGAAAGGTTTTTTCTTTTCTGTTAAGTTGCTTTCTTCAATTAAGAAATTTATTAATTTCTATAAGTCTCCTATTCTATTTCATGGAACATAATGTTCATGTATAAGAAATGTTTGGCAAAATCTTTAAATAGTGGGGGTTTCTTCAGTAAAGGTTATAGTACGTTTAGGTATGTTTTGGAAGAACCTTACCAGGAGTGATCAAGGAAAACCTACAAACTACATTCTCTTCCGTTGTTGTTCTACATTTTCATCCCTTAACCCATTTCAACCCACCTTGTAGGGCTAGATTAAGTTTTTAGAGCTAGATTTAGAAATCTAGAGGGAGATTGAGAGAATACTTTAGGGAAGGGAATGGTGGTTGGGTGGATTGATACTGATTCGGGGGCCTTGCAGTAGATAGCAAGACCATGGGTAGAGATTTAACTTTGGTATCTTAAATTCATCAAGGCATCTCTAGTAATTTAGCTAAACACTATATGGTGCAGAAGAATGCAGAAAAACTGTACCATTGTCGAGCTGTAACTATACTTTTACTTGCCATATGCTATGCAAAATTGTTCAGTATTATCCTGCATTGTTTTCATTAGCATTATCTTTGTTTTACGGCCAGTGTTATATTTGTCATATGTTTCCCTAAGAAATCTTTTTTGTTCATTTCTATCATGAGTTTTAATCACTTTCCCTAGTTATTTAATTCTTGAATAGACCTTCCAAATTTGGAAGGCTTATTTAATACTGTTAATCATGAACTTTAACTCTTGATCTCTGTCTGTGCAGTATGGGGACCTAAAACGCTTTTTCCTGTCAGCTTTCTACCACATGAGTGAATCCCATCTAGTTTATAACATGATGTCCCTCTTGTGGAAGGGGATTCAGCTGGAAACCTCGATGGGAAGCGTGGAATTTACTTCAATGCTAGCAGCACTACTTACTCTCTCCCAAGGAATCACTCTACTTCTTGCCAAAAGCTTACTGCTCTTCTTTGACTATGAAACAGCATATTACAACCAGTTTGCTGTGGGGTTTTCTGGCGTTCTATTTGCCATGAAAGTTGTTTTGAATTCTGAATCAGATGACTTGACATCTCTAAATGGTCTCCTGATCCCAGCTCGTCACGCTGCGTGGGCGGAATTGATTCTCATCCAGTTGTTTGTTCCTGGTGTCTCTTTCCTTGGTCATCTTGGTGGAATTCTAGCTGGACTCCTCTATCTAAAGCTGAGGAGGTCGTATAGCGGTCCTGATCCACTTGCAGCATTGATGAGGCATACAGCTGCGGTTGTAAGCTGGCCTGTGAAGTTTCTGAGAAGCTTGATTGGGTGGCCAACTCGGCGAATATCAGGAAGGGGTACAGTTGGAAGCAGACGGCCTGTTCAAAGGGTTTATGATGTGTGGAGATGTGCTGCTTGCACATATGACAACTCTGCTTTGGCGGATGTATGCGAGATGTGTGGCACAGAGAGGCTGGGTAACGGGTTTACTGCACCTATGTTGTCAAATGGTAATGTTGAGCTCAGCTTAGAGGAGGTAAGGAGGCGGCGGCTTGAAAGATTCGGTAGATGACATTCTAAATTTCTAATTTGTGCAAGACACTTCTCTTGTTCTGCAGTTTTACCTGTTCGTTTCATTTGAATAGTAATAGCTCTGCAGAAATTCGAGCCTTTTGGTTTTAGCTATTCCCTCCTAGCCAGTCAGAGTTTCTGGCTGAGGTTAAATATGCTTTCTGTTACTTCAAAGTGGATGATCTACATTCTCCTGCCTTATGGAGAGAAGGCAGGTAATTGCTTTACTGTAAAATAATTTCTTAAGTAGTTTCTAGTCTTATAACTGTCATCTTCATATCCTACAGCGAAATGAATAGTTTTATTAAGAAATGTTCATACTTCCTATCTAGTAAATTTGTTAAGTCGCTCGGCAACATGAATGCCGTTTATTGTTTGTTAAAATTGCACCATGACACTGCTGCTTTTGACATTTTGTTAAAGTAATTTTTTAAGTAGTTTCTAGTCCTATACCTTTCATGTCCATATCCTACAGCGAAATGAATATTTTTATTAAGAAATGTGCACACTTCCTATTTGGTAAATTTGTTAAGTCGCTTGGCAACATGAATGCCGTTTATTATTTGCTAAAATTGCACCATGACACTACTGCTTTTGACATTTTGGGGAGTTAAATATTAATATTTTCTTGTTAAATACTAATCTCTGTATGATTGAGGCAATAGTGTTTTGAAATTTTGTTTTGTTTTTGTTTGAATGCTGTTTTTGCTATGTTTAATGTCTCACACATTCAACCTAAGCATCTAATGGCTCCCTTGGTTTATTATATAAGAGTTTGGATGTGGGCCATTAAAACATTTGGTTGGAGAGGAAAAAGGGGAAGTGTACAATGGTTTGTTTTACGTTTTAACTTTTTGACTTTGGCTTATGTGATTTGAAGTCACATATATTTAAATAATATAATTTGTGATATAATATGTTATTCTATTCATTAGATACTCATGCATAATGTTGATTTTTTCTCTCTTCCGCATTGGGGACTGTTCGCTCTGCAATCATAACAAAAAATTTAAGACAAATGGATTGATGTCTTTTATTGTTGGATCAATTTTTCTATGACTCTTAAATTGCAGTCCGTGTGCTTCTCTATAGAATCATTTGCACCTTAATTTATCTCAATTTTTTTGGATTTGTTCTTGTTTTTGAAATGCCTCATGAAGATTTATATTTACATCCTCTCTTACATCAAGAAAAATATAAGAAAATTCTTAGATTATAAAGACAATCCCTAGCCGTTCTTACTTATTATTTGCTCTTGTTCCCTTATAATGTATCTCCTATTTAGCTTTATTTTGTTTTATTTTCTTTCCCTTATTGCTTTATTTTGATTTATTTTTTTCTTTTATTATTCCTATTGTAATTGAGTTTAAATACCCCTTCTCCTATAGATAATTTCATGCTGCTCTATTTCAAATCTCAACATGACATCATAGCCTTGGCTCTAACCCTAGAGGTTCCACCCTAGCCTACTAGCAACCACCTTCCAGCCAGACTCCTTATTCAGCTGTGGTTCTTATCTACCGTAGTTCATATTGTCGCAGTTCCCTTCAACTGCAGTTCCTATCTACTGCAATTCACAGCCTTATCGCTAAGCCCCTTTCTGCTACGAAGCCTAATCTGTTGCTCCTCTGGTTGGCCGCCCTACAGGAACTATCTGCCATTTTCCTTCCAACCACTGGTCGGCTGCCTTTCAACCTATTTTGTCGGTTGTTGTTCCAGAAGTTTTTTCAGCCACTGGACATCCCTCTTGCCAACCTTTTATATTTCTCTACAACCCAACATCACCTTTGACTCTTTTGGAAGTATGGTGGATTCCTTCACTATTGAACCTTTTACTGATAGTGTGCATGAGTACAATGGAGGATCGTTACCAACTTCAATCACTTTACAAACCAGAGGATAAGAAATCAAATGAATTTCTTAATCACAACCTATAAACAAAACGAGTCTCCAATGGTCCCTATGGCTGTAAACGAACCGAGCTTGAACGAGTTCAAGCTTGGCTTTTGTTGGGCTCGTTCGAGATTGCTCTTATTCGAAATCAGCTCGCGTTTGAACTTGGCTCGTGAACAGTGTGTTCGTGTTTGACTCGATTTAAATATTCTTGTTCATGTTCGACTCACGTTCGGTAAATTTGTTAAGTCGCAACATGAATGTCGTTTATTGTTTGCTAAAATCGCACCATGAAACTGTTGCTTTTGACATTTTGGTGAGTTAAAGATTAATATTTCCTTGTTAAATACTAATCTCTATTTTATTGAGGCAATAGTGTTGTGAAATTTTGTTTTGTTTTTGTTTGAATGTTGTTTCTGCTATGTTTAATGTCTCACACATTCAACCTATGCATCTAATGGCTCCCTTGGTTTATTATATAAGAGGAGTTTGGATGTGGGCCAATGAAACATTTGGTTGGAGAGGCAAAAAGGGAAGTGTACAATGGTTTGCTTTACGTTTTAACTTTTTGAATTTGGGTTATGTGATTTGAAGTCACATATATTTAAATAATATAATTTGTGATATAATATGTTATTCTATTCATTAGATACACATACATAATGTTGATTTTTTCTCTCTTCCACAGTGGGGATTGTTCACCCTGCAATCATAACAATATATGTAAGACACATGGATTGATGTCTTTTATTGTTGGATCAATTTTTTTATGACTCTTAAATTGCAGTCCCTGTGCTTCTCTATAGAATCATTTGCACCTTCTTAATTTATCTCAATTTTTTTGGATTTATTCTTCTTTTTGAAATGTTTCATGAAGATTTATATTTACATCCTCTCTTACATAAAGAAAAATATAATAAAACTTCTTAGATTATAATGACAATCCATAGTCATTATTACTTATTATTTTCTCTTGTTCCCTTATTATGTATCTTCTATTTAGCTTTATTCTATTTTATTTTCTTTCCCTTATGATTTTATTTTGATTTTTTTTTCCCTTTGTTATGCCTATTGTAATTGGCTTTAAATACCCTTCCTCCTATCAATAATTTCCTGTTGCTCTATTCCAAATCTCAACATGGCATCAGAGTCTTGACTCTACATCTAGAGGTTCCGCCCTAGCCTGTTGGCTGCCACCTTTTAGTCAAGCTCTTTATTCAGCTGTGGTTCTTATCTATCGTAGTTCATATTTGTCACATTTCCCTTCAACCGCAGTTCTTATCTACCGCAATTCACATCCTTGTCGCTAAGCCCCTTTCTGCCACAAAGCCTAATTTGTTGCTCCTCTAGCTGGCCTCCCTACTGGAACTATCTGCCACTTTCCTTCAACCCACTGGCCGACTGTCTTTCAACCTGTTTTGTCGGCTATTGTTCCAGCCTCTTGCCAACCTTTTCTAAGTTTCTACAACCCTCATCACCTTTGGCTCTTTTGGAAGTATGGCGGATTCTTTCACCATCGAACCTCTTACACATGAGTCCACAGGAGGATCGTTACCGACTTCAATCACTTTACAAACCAGAGGATAGGACACCAACATGAATGTCTTAATCACAACCTATAAACAGAACGACAGTCTCCAATGGTCCCTAGAGCTGTAAACGAACCGAGCTTGAGCTAGCTCAGACTTGGCTCGTGTTCGGCTCGTTCAAAATTGAAATTGACTCGTGAACAGTGTGTTCGTGTTCGGCTCGATTTAAATATTTTTGTTCGTGTTCGACTTGAAATTGGCACGTTAAAATTAATTGAAAAAAATAAATGTAGAGTGTTGGATTCGAATCTCGACTAAATCTATGCAAAAGAAGACGCAGAACCACGTTAACACACAAGTTGTTATGAAAACTTAGATATAAATATTGATAATATTTTATTATATAATTAATATAGATACTATATTATTATATAAATAATTATATGATTTTTTATTTTGACCTAAAACAAGCCGAACACGAGAGAACAAAGAGTTGTTCGTGTTAGACTCGTTTATAATTCGAGCTTAAAAAATTTATTTATTTTCAGCGTTTTCGTTAAGTGAACAAGCCGAACACGAGCTACTTAAAGAGTCAAACATGAGTTGTTTGCGAATAACGAGCTTTTTTTACGGCCCTAATGATCCCAAGCAGTGTCTTTGTTCATCAAAGGTCGTGGGAAGTTTGATTACCTCACAGGTATGGTTTGTGGGTCTCCAAAGACTGACCCGACATGTGGAGCTTAAGAAGTGGAGAACTTCATGGTCATGTCGTGGTTGATCAACTCTATGGAGACTTCAATTGGTCGTTCATATATTTTCATCTCTTCAGTTTGTGCCCTCTGAACGGCTGTCTTCCGATATAGGAAATTTTGGTCAACTCTATAAGGTATTTAAAAAATCCAGGAGACAAAATAGGGGTCACCCAGTACTATAATTTATTGTACTATTGATGGAATGTGATCTGTACTCCGACTACACTTGAGATTCTCTAGCCGATTTATCCCTCTTCTAGAAGATCGTAGAAAATGATCGTACGTTCTAACTATATCACTAGCCTTAATAAAGCCCTCAACGAAGTTCGGGGTTGTATTCTTGGTTGGGAGCCATTTTCTTTCGCCCGCGTTGCTTTTACTGAGATTCATCTGGAAGAAAGCAGGAGACTTGTCATGCTCGACGCTTTCACTCCTTCAGCAGAATTGTACGCTTTAATCTCCAAGGGTACTCAACTCTCATTCATGACATATTGGACTGGTCACCTTACCTGTGATTACTGTCAGAAACACAATCACACTCGGGACAAGTGCTGAAAACTTCACGGTAAGCCAACTTACAAACCTTCGTCCAAATCCTTTACTGCCAAGGGACTCACGGCGGCGTACTAACCAAGCACGACTCAACCAACTCCTATCTGAAACATTTCGTAATCCTTTGAATCCCTAATAAACAAGATGGATCAATTGATCAAGCTTCTTGGAGCTAATCAAGTCTCTGCGGACAAGGAATTCTTTCTATGACTCATAGTTTATTCCTCATCTAGTTCGTGTATTATTGATTCAGGTGTCATGGATCATATACTGGCTGCTCGCAAGCTCTCTCGATTTAAGATCTTTGCCCTGGAAAAAAGACCGCCAGAATTATTGATGGATCCTGTATTCCCATTACTGGTAAAGGTCGTTTGTACTAACTTATTATCTGTCTATTTTCTAACCCTGAAGTCTATTTTACATATTACCCAATTGCAATGTAACTTATTATGTGTCAGTAAGTTGACAAGTGATTTCAATTGCGTTGCTAATTTCTCTTATGATAGTTGTGTTTTTCAGGATCGCCGTTAGGAGAGGATGATTGGAAATGCTAAGGGGGAAGGCGGACTCTACTACTTCCAAGAGGAGAACTTGGAGATTGAAGACACACCAATCAAAAGTTGTAGCCTATCTCGAGTCATTGAATGTCCCGTCATATTATTATATTGTTGTTTAGGACATTTTAG